CTGGCGCTTTCGCGATAGCCAGTGAACGGTGTTTCCGGTGCAGATGGGTCATCGCTTTTTACTCGGAGTCTGAGGTGGTAAACTAGGCACAGGAGCCGGTTCGTCCTCTGGTGGAGGCGATAATTCGCTCTCTACCATTTGCTTCCGAGAGACCTTGCGTGACGCTTTGCCTTTGCCTGGTGAGGATCCACCCTCTACCAAGTCTTTCCAGGCGCGTTCACGCTCAATCTGCTTGTATTGGAAAACAGGATGTTTCCTTTCACCGTATATATTGCCCTCTCGTTTCGGCACTTTCCTGAGACGACCGGATCTCCTTGGAGATTGCCATGGTTGTTCAGGCGGTACTGGGCTAGGAGTCCTCGACCGCTCTCTTTTGGGTGTCGAAGGAAGCTCAGGTGCCACGTCTGGCGCCTTGCCTTTCCCCTTTTCAGGAGTTATAGCGGGAACAGGAGTCGACGGAATTTCATCATCGTCGTCCCAAGGAACGGGTGGTTGACCCGATGGGTGGTTGGTGTCTTTGGATCGCGGACCTCCAATACGCGTGTTTTTCGTTTGCTTTTGCTTCGCACACTTAGGGAACAGTGTCTCGTCAAACAACGCATGGGCAGATGTGAATATCACATTGTTGGGTAGGCGCATGAACTTGAAGTTCGTTTCCATACCATCCGCAACGCCGATGTAGATCATAAGTTCGGACTTAGGTGACATTTTGTTCTTTCGAACATCGGCGGGGAGGTGAACGTATGCACCACATCCAAATACTCGCAAGTGATCGACTCGCGGTGGTCTACCATACAGAAACTCATACGGCGTCTTCCAGTTAAGGCGCACAACCGGAGTTCTGTTGTATACATGCGTTGCATGCTCGACAGCGAAATTCCACCAGGATTCAGGCAAGCAAGCGTCAAAGCGCATCGACTCAGCCTTATCCATGAAAGTGCGCATATACCGCTCAGCACGACCATTCTGCTGTGGCGTGTGGGGTGCGCTCTGAAGAACTTTAATGCCGTTACTTTTAAAATAGTCGTCCAAGGCTTTGGACTTATACTCTCCCCCTGCATCCGACATCCACTTCTCAACAGTCGAACTGAACTGGTTCTTGACCATTGCCATGAAGTGTTTAATTGCTGGTAGTGCCGCATCTTTAGTGCGCAGGCAAACTATCCAAGCAAACGAAGTGTAGTCATCCAAGAACGTTATCACATATTTATGTTTGTGATACGACTCGATTGGGAATGACTTGATGTCAGAGTGGATAAGTTCAAACGCTCTTTCAGCGCGAACAGGGTGAGTAGGAAAGGGTCGCAAAGGCATTTTGCCTTGCGCGCAACCTCGGCATATATGTTCCTCGGTGGGTATTTCTACGGGTGTAAACCCGGAGACGTGTTTCCGAGCATGTCGAAGCACATCCTTTGAAGGATGAGCAAAACGACGGTGCCATGTCTGGTAATCCAGAGCATAGACCATGTCGACAACCTCCATTTCTTTGTCGGGGAGGGTCTGGACACCATAGATGGTATCACCCGACACACGAGGAGTGAACGTTAGGAACGGTTCTCCTCGTTCGGTTAACACTCTTACTGCCTCTGAGTCGCAGAGCGCAGTCATGTCATTCTGCAGAAACTGGCCAAGAGAAAGCAGCCGCATATTAATGTCAGGCACGAGCTTTACTCCGGCAATCTGTACGGTATCCTTCTTGGTTTTCAGGATTACAGTCCCTTCGCCGATCATGTTGGTGTGGTTATTGGCCGTCGATAGCCTTACCGGCGCATCGAATGGCTTATACTCAATGAAGTCGTTTATATCATTTGTGAAATGATACGACGCTCCAGAGTCACACATCCAAAAGACTTGGCTTGGTGTTCCTTTTCCCTTACAATCGGCGCACGCAGAGTATGAGAGCGAATGCACACAATCGTTATTACTACACAATACATCATCGCAAAGTATATTACATGCGGCTATATTATTGCGCGAAGACGCAGCAGATAAGTTAGCGATGTTTAGTGTAGAGGGATAGGAAGGGACGTACCCAACATCCTCATCGTCGTTGACGATCATGCCTGACCATCGGGATGGTCCAGCATGTCCTGGATCATCTCCCAGAGGTGATTCATCCCGCGACCCAATGCTGACGAAGTCGTCGCACTCGTCGTCGGAGGCGTCGGGAGGGACGTACTCGGGCGTCGGTGCTCGCGAGGAGATTCGCTCGGCGAGCGGCGTTGACGAGGTGCCGGTGGGGCGCGGCGAAATCCGGTCCATAAGGTTGGGCCGGCCGGACGTCCAAGAGGAGTCAGATGATCCTCCGTCAGAGGAGGGAGAGAGGCGGACGCGTTTGAAGGCGCGGAGGGCCTCCTCATCGGAGTCGAGGATCGGCGAGCCGTTTGCCAGGCTCCAATCCGAGCTGATTGCTCCGCATTCCTCATCGCTTGAGTCGCTCGTTCCGTGGAATGGCGGAGTGGGGGGAACTCCTCGAAGCGAAGAATCCGAGCCGGTACCGGGTGAGGGGCTTCGGCTTGCTCCCGTCGCACCTGCTGGTCTCGTTGTCGCTGGGACGGAGGAGAGACCGAGGGCCGGACACTTCTTGTGCTCGGCGAAGGTGCGGCAGGGCGTCTCCGCGGTGCAGAATGGTTCAATGGCAGGACAGAAATTGTGGTCTGCCTGCGTCTGGCATGGGGGTTCGGCTTCGCAGTAGGTGTAGCACCATGTACCTTTGAGGCGGTTGACGGCCTCGATCCGGCGCTTACGCTCGAGGTGGTTCTCGAAGGTGTCCTCTTCAGGGCACTCGAGTAAGTGTTTGAGCGTGGCGGCGCGGAGGGCTTCGCGCTCCTCGTTGAGGGTCTGGACGCGTCGTTGTTCGACGGTGGCCTCAAGGACCCGCAGTTGTTCGGGCGTGGGCCTGATCCCTAAGTCGCGAGCAAGCTTCAGCGCGCCATTCACACTAGGGTAAATGGTGGAGGGTTCAGTCACCTTCACAACCGGTTTGAACATACGACGATCGGCGACGTACGGAGAGGGAGCACGGCGTGGAGCCGGCTTAGGTTCGTCAGCGGCGACTGCCACAGATGCCATAGTGACATTGTGGTCGCAGTCGGCGACGTACGCCTTTCCCTTGCCTTTGTCCTTGCCCTTGCCACGGCCAGAACGACCGCGACGGTGCTTGTCCGAGTGCTGCTGCTGCCCCTGAGGGCGCTGCTGCGACTGCGAGGACTGCTGTTTCTGCTGCTGCCCGTTAGGGCGCTGCTGCTGAGAAAAAGACTGATCGCCTTGCTTGCGCTTGACAGCGCTGAGCTTGTTGGCGGTGTCGTTTGGCTTCTTGCTCGACGAGGCGTGGAGCTGCCTCTGGTCGTAGGCGAGGATGACTTGACGACGGATGTCGTCGACGTCGAGTTCGGCGGGCTGCTTCTGCTGCTGCAGATGGCTGATGAACGACATCTGCGGTGGGAGCTTGGCGATGATGAACATGGCGAGGAGCCACTCAGGGAGTGGTTCGGTGGCAGGGATCGCGGTAGAACCCGCGGCAGAGATGCTGGCAGTAGCGGTATGGGAGCGAGCCGTAGCGAGTGCAGAGGTCGAAACGACCTTGACCTCTTTGAGACGGTCCCAGTGCGCTTGCATCTTGTTGAGCGCGGGGGCGGGGTACGAATTGCCAGGGATGTTCGTCGCCAGCAGAGCAGAGAACTCGTGGTAGACGTTGCCTAGAGCGAGAGAACCGTAGTCCTTCTTCAGCCTCTGCCAGATGGCAGCGGCGGTCGTGAGATCCGAGGTGTTGGAGCGAATAGACATAGAGAGGCGCAAATTAATGCAGCCCATAGCCTGCATGTCGTGGTCGACCCAGGCCTTCTCGTCGTTGAGCTCCTGAGCGCTGGGAGGCGTAGAGAGAGCAGGACGAGGATTGACGATCGCAGTCCAGTGCGAGTGCGCCATGAGATAGTTCTGCATGTCAGAGGCCCAGTGCTGATAGTTAGCACCGGTGAGCTCGGCGATCTGGTACAGAGCAGACGACATAGTAGCGTAGAGTGTTGGTAAAGTTGGTACGATCTGGTTGAAAGAAACAGTCGTCAGCGTAATGAATCAACTAAACGACCAGCGCATGACAGCGCTGCAGATCACTAGTGGAGCGACAGCCTTAAGCCGTGCTACGCGTCGCCGAGAGGCGTTACGCGTTGTCCACCACAGCGTCAAGCCATTAAAGGCGACGCTTCAGGCGAGCAGGGCACCCAGGGCGCAGAGTCGGTGCAGAGTGCAACCGTCTCAATGCATTGCGGACGCGGTGCAGGATGCTACCATCATCGACGCAAGCCCCAGCGAGCCCAGGGCTCATAACCTGTGAAAGCTGCGCTGCCGCACACAGTGGCGGGCGATGTCAAGCTCACCTGGTTGAGTCTGGGTAAGTCTCAGTCTGTGGAGGACAGAAGTAAAGCGACTTGTATTGCAACCCTCAGACAGGCCTGTATATATACTACAGAGAGTGGCTATGCGGTGCAATCACATGCTAAGCTATAGAACAATAAAGAAGGCTGTGGAACGTAGCAACGCACAGCCTATTGTGTCAGAAATAGATACAGCTGTGCCGAGGACGGCAGTCAAGGCGGGCTGTGCCAGCGCCTGTGAATCGGTGGCTGTAGAGCGCCAATTCAACACTGAGTCGACGGAATTCTACTGTGCGGACGTGCCGCCATTGAGCAGATGACTCCAGTTCGACAAGGTACTTTTGGAGACTAAGCTTTGCGGATATAAACGTGAGGTCATCAAGGTCCAGACACCTGGCAATGACATAAATATCACTTGGATCCTGCTTTGCGCAGCTGCTGAGATGATTGCATAACGACTTGATTCATCTGAAAAAATCTAGATCACTATATGGCACTGTATAGTGCAATATAGCCTCCATAGGTCCATAGCGATGTCCTTTGCTACCCATGCTAGAAATCTGCCAGCCAATGCTATCATAGTGCTATAGGTGCTATAGAGGGTACTGTCATGGCTACAGTAGCTATGTAGGGCATACCTTAGTGCTATATAGCTCACACACTAGTGTTACTGAAACTATATATCCTATGTAAACTCTACAGCAATCATATGCTTGATAGATATTATAGTCATCTGAATAAAATTACTTTTATTTATTTATTATATATCACTGATAATCTTCCAAATTCTAGTAAAGAATTATTATTTTTCATCATATTTTATATAAGTGACAAAATTGTATCAAGTACTATTAGTGAATGGTGATTACGTAAGCAGCGTAGACATGCCGCCCATAGACATAGGGGGAGTGGGGAAGGGTGCTGGCACTGAGCGAGGGGCGGTAGGCGACGGGCAAGTAGCGGGAGGGGCGCGACCGCGTTAGCGGCTCACGCTGGGCGGAGGTGGCGTGATGGAGGGAGGCGAACCCGAGTGCGACCGCGTTGGCGGCTCGCGTTCGGCGTTGGGCGATGGAGGGTGCGAGGGTGGGAGGCGACGCCGAACGCGACCGCGTTGGCGGCTCGCGCTCGGCGTTGGGCGAGTGGAGGGCACGAGGGTGAAAGGCGACGCCGAACGCGACCGCGTTGGCGGCTCGCGCTCGGCGTCGGGCGAAGGGGGGCTGGCGAGGGTGGAGGCGACGCCGAGCGCGACCGCGTTGGCGGCTCGCGCTCGGTGCTGTGGGAAGGAGGG